AAAAAAAAAAAAAAAAAAAAAAAAAAAAACATTGAAAAATGAAAAACAATACAGTAAAACACTTTTTGGAGAGCTAAGAGGCTGTTTCTCTTGCATTAACTAGATTAAGTTTGCCTATTCAATCTTACAGTCACTTACATTTACTCCTTCCCCAGTATTTCCAAGGATTCAGCAGTTTAAGAAGATTAACTTTTCTTTGCTGTTGGAACAGCTTTTTATATTGCAAGCTAATAAGAGCAGGGGAAATGTATTATTTACTCACTGTGTAAAGACTCAAATACACCTGTGGCACTATGTAACACAATGTATTCATTATTGTTTTTATCATCCCAATGACAGTCATCCTTAACTTCTATTTTAATGAGCTATTTGTGAAGAGTTTGTCCTCACTATGACAAGAGTGACACTTCAAAATTTCTCAAGTAGAACACAAAACAAGTGAGCAAAACCAAAACAACCAACATGCACTTTTTTTTTTTTTTTATCAAGGACATGCTTTTTCATACATTTATTGTATTTCCATGTAAAAGTGAGGGCAGCCCTAAAAATCGTGCACTCAACACATAAGGTTTTTCTGCATAACCCACCTCTTGAAGACGGAAAGTGGGCTTCTGAAACCCAAACAGATGTTTTGAAGAACAAGAATCAGTATTAGCAGGTTGTTAACGAGGCCAGCCATGTCCACCCTGCCGTTCCTGGCCTGATTAAAGGACCAGAAAAAGGGCAGCACAGCTCTATCAGTTGTGATCCTGACTATTAGGCGGCAGCAGCATCAATTCATTACTTCATTATTATGTGCTCTGCAGGCATCCTCCAGCTTCTGACAGACCATCTGTCTTGGAAGGTGATGCACTGTAAATCGGGAAGGTGGATGATGCTATGTTGTCTTTATTACTAGCTCTAAAAATCTGTTGAAGGGTTTTCCCTTGGAGATGGATGAGACTGCGCCTTTGTCCACTTAAGGAGCCGAAATGAAGTAGCACTCCTGATGCTTCCTCCCCAGGTTGCACAGTTAGATTCGTGTGTTCCGTATCAGTCCATGGTGCCAGAGACACCCAGTAGCATCGCAGAAACCAGCATCAGTCATCTTTTAGAACCTGTAAAAATAGAAGAGGATAAAGGATGACTAACACATCACAGCATCCATTCTCAGCAAATCCCTGTTGGGAGTTTTTGAAACATTAGTACATATTCTCACAAGATGCAGCCGAAGCCAGTGAAGAATGTATCTCATTTTAATCCTCTCCCACTCATCCAGAGTCAGAAACTGATACTTCAATACAGACATACAAAACTCACTCAGGAATACATTTTAAATAGCACAAAGAAAAAAAAAAAAAAAAAAACCCACACCAAAAACATTAAGAAGCAAAAGGTAAACTATATATTTCACATATACAACAGTATTGTATAATGTGTTCTGCATGCAGCTAGAAGAGCCAAAGAGTGGTACAGCAAAAATCAAGCTCTATGAATTTTAAGAACTATCACTAAGAGTTTCTGCATTAGTAGGAGATTGGGATACTTTATTTTTAAAACAATACAATACTATACCATTCTGTCATAATGTACCCACTGCTTATGCACCGTAGTGCATAACTGACAGTAACAAATTGTTTTCAGAAATACTAAAACAAGACTGCTTTACACTACTTGTATACTGTTTCTATATTCTTCCATTAATGCTATTTCAGCTTAAGACACTACTATTCACATTGCTTTAATTAAATTTAACCTTAACGGCCCTTATCTTGACACAGTGGTTGATTTCACACTTCAATTTCACAAGTTCACAAAGGTTTTTTTTTTTGTTTTTTTTTTTACGAATGTTAGAAAATAGAAGTGTGTATTACTGAAAATATACACTAATGTTTGGGCTTGTTTTTCAGCATTTACAACTATGTAAGAAAAAAAAATCTCATAGACAAAGAAAATCAACCCTTCAAATGAGTTAGTAATTTGTTTAAAATTAAATAAAATATAAACACACAAAAAAATCTATTCTTTGGATGCTGAAAACACAGTGAAAATACTGCTATAAAGATGAAGAAACAAAGGGTTGTGAAATTCCTGGGTTTTAATAGAAATCACTTCCCATCTCAGGGCACCAAAAAGGATGCTATATGAAAAAAAGTGCTTCCAGACAGAAGCCCAACCTGGCAGCTTGCAGTCAGATTTGCACTGAGCAGTGTGCAAAAGGCACTGATTCTAAAATCTGATTAAATTAACCATTATAAAACCCAAATATTTTCTTCATTGAAAGATGACAGAAGATTGAGTCACACAAACTGCCAACAGATTCTTAGGTCTGAAGTTGCCAAAAACATGCCAAACCTGTCCAAAATTATCCGTGAGAACTAGTGATACAACAGTAATTCTTTTTCTTTATGTAAATTCTTAAGCCTTCAGTTCTACCATCTTCATCATCTTGACTACTAAACTATGGAAAACTGTAAAACATGTCGAGAACTGCACTATGACAGAAAGTCAAGTCTATATTTATATACATATATATATATATTTAATAAGATGCTTCACAAAAAGTAAAGATCTCTATAGAGACGTAGAGCTTCACTACTTTTTACACGAAGGTATGATTATACAATAGTAACAGAGCAGCATCTTTGTAAGCCACCTGAAAGTTCTAGCACAGCTTAAGCATATTTCCATATAAGAAAGGAAAGCAGGTTATTCCAGGCAGAAAAATAAACATACACTGATGAGATTTTCACAGACATGCAAAATAAATAAATAGATAAATAAATTACTTCTCATAAGAACTGAAAACCATGTTACACTCATCTTCCTAACAATTAGGCTAAAAATCAAATCCCCCCTAAAAAAAAAGAAAAGTGAGGGTTGTTTGCACAATACTGATTGAATTTGCTGCATTTTTTTTCCCCAGCAAGTTAAAAATGAGTATTGATGCATTACAACCATTATGCTTTGATCCTTTTGTTCCTTTGTGGTAATTCTTTGTGGCAATTCTCCCTGTATAGATTTTCATCAACGTTTTTTAGCCTTCTTTCCTTCTATAGTAATTGTGAGCATAAAATGGTTGGAAAACTACTGAATGTGTCCCCAGACACATTAACCAAATTATCAGCTATTTAGATGTTGTTCGATTGTTGCACAAAGTTGAATTGCCGAAAAAAACTTAACATCTCAAATTCTATTTAACAAATACGTTAAACAGTGACAAAGTAGGAAGTTCAAGGCTGGATTGGATGGGGCCCTGAGCAGCTTGGTCTAGTATTAAATGTGGAGGTTGGTGGCCCTGCATGTGGCAGGGGGGTTGGAGATTCATGATCCTTGAGGTCCCTTCCAACCCTGGCCATTCTGTGATTCTGTGATGTGCTGGGACTTCTGGAACAATGCTCTCACTTAATTTTCTGGAATACAAAAAGTTAACTTCCAGTGGATATAAATATTTTTTCCAGCTTTAGGAGAGTCTGAGGTTGTTTATAAGAAGTCTGCTACATGCAGCTACTTGGTATGTAGATTAATAAAAGGAAGCCATGGAGTAAGGTAAGCGTTTATGGTCCTCCCTTATCTGTAATATGAACGCTTTGTTTGATGCATCTGGTACATAACATATGGCTCCTGCTTGTCCTCATAGTGCGACGTCGGGTTAAGATTGGGGGTGGGAGTAAGGAGGAGGAAACAGCTCTGACTCCACCGGGAGAGATGCCATAATTGATGTCAGACAAGGAGGAAAAAAGTGAGGATGAGAGATTCAGTAAGATTACATAGTTACTTCAGTTCATTAGATGGACATCCTGATACTACAGTTCTGCTTTCAATAGAGCAGAAAATAAAACTGTTTCACAAGAGTTTTCAAGGGAATGGAAAAAGCGAAGTAAAAAAGATGTAATTAATAACAAATGCTATAGTGAAAGGAGAGAAGATAGAAATTTGCTCGAGCAATATAAGCATGTTACTTTATCCACCAGGTCCTATACAAACATAGTAGAAGACATAAAAAAACACACAAGTACAGAAAACTAACTGCATCTAGCAGGAAGAAATCTTACTGAACAAGCTGGGGGAAAAAAGAAAAAGAACAGGCACTGAAAGAGCTGGAATTCAAAGCAGAATTCAAACTAGCATGCAAAATTAAGTAACAACATCTCAAAGTGATTTCATAAAAATTCAACTGCAAATCTTAAAAAATACTAATTCCTTAATAATGATCCATTAAAAAAATAAAACAAACAAAAAAACCCCACAACACCTTCTGACAAAGAAAGCTCTGTATTAACCACAACCTTATAAAGCATACTACAGTAATTTCTTCATTCCATTTTAGTCATTTTACACACAGTACAAACTGAACTCGCCGCAAGGAGAAGCCTCATCTTCAACATCCACTGGCTTCAAAGGAAAAATAAAAAGAAAGCTAAACAGTATTGATCTGAAAGTTCAAAGGCAGTAAGTTCTCAAAGCTGAATCTTGTTTCATGATTCTTATGCACTGAAAGCATGGAATTGAGCCAGGACAACTTGATTTCAGTCTCCAGCTACAGCATGCAAGAATCAAATTTTTAGCCGTAGCAGGGAAGGCCACGTTTCATCTCAACTAAACATGAAGCTTAAGCAATGCAAGTTTGACATGTTTAGATCATAGTTAAAAAGAGAGATTAAAATTAATGTTTGCAAAAAAAAAAAAAAAAAAGTTAGATAAATATGGCAAAATAGTGTTATATTCAACCTACTGCACAGTTCTTCACATTTTGGAGAGGAGTATTCCTTTATTCTCTATCATGATGTTTTACTCACATCATCACACAGTCAATCCTTCAGAAAAAAGAAAAAATCTTAAGAAGAAGCGCTCACACCCCCAGTAAGACAAACTAGTTCTCTTCTAGCATGTACGTCTTCTACTTCATAGTTAGAAAGCAAAGCTTAAGATTTCTCAGTAACAGCTGTGAAAGATCAAGCATTCTTCACGATAACAAGAAGATTAAAGGAACCAAAGATAGATGGTACCAAGGATTTTTTTTCTAAGGATTTTGGCAGCAAATAGTGAAAGTTCTCTTTTTGCATAGGTCTCCATTACTTTTACTATGCCACTGTCTATGAAGGGAAATGAATCTGTAAGAAGATGGCAGGAAGACCAGAAAAGTCTTCGCCAGATAAGCTGGTTTTAGAGCTTATAATTCTTTGGAAAATAATTAACTCATGATTGCAGAAAACAGAGGACCCATTCAGATTTTAACATCATGCATGCCAACTAAATGCAGTCCTGTATTTAGTGATTCTTTTCTGAAAACATGAAATGCCCTGACTTGTGTCACATTTTACTAAACTTTAAAATAATACACTTACCAGCTTCTAAAACTTTCTTTAAACCTTTGAAATGTTGTATTTTGTAGAACTTTTTACTCTCCTTGAAGCAACTCAAGTAGTTTTCCAGGAAAACATTTACAGCATGATTATAAACCATTAAAAAAAAAATACCCATAACCAACTAAGGAGCTTTCTACAGAAACTGCTGCTTCAGACTAGACTTCATTGGACTGTTCTTCTGATTTAACTAATGATGAACTTCCATCGTGCACCATCCATATCCACTGTAATCACACACTGCCTTGTATTTTCTTTCTCTTCTTGCACTGCAATGGTTCAGCAAGCTGATGCCCTCCTCCCCCCATTCCCCAGCAGTATATTCATCTTCAGATCAGATCAACTGGTCAGAGTACCTGCTGGTAGCTGCTGCATATCTATCATAAAAGAAATGACGCAAACATGCAGATGGCAAGGAATCCCCTTCTTCCGGAGCAACTGAACTATGTGTAATATCACTCTCATTTTAAAAATATTTATCTTCATAAGTTGTCAGATACAACTGGCCTCTTGGTTTAATTTAGATTTCGCTAATTCTCATGTTCTACTACCAAAACCTTTTCAAATATGGATACCGAAGGAAAAAAAGAAATATGATTGCTCTTATTGTTGTTTTTAGGAACAATTTTTCCTACAATTTGACAGGCTGAGCTTAAGCAGTATGAATACTTCTAAAATAAACATTTGTGGTAATAAAATCTACTGTTGATTCCAGGAAGAAGTACAGCATCTATAATTTGAATAAAGAACTA